AGGAAATAAATGAATCATTTTTTTTAATCAAAGCTTTTCAAACTTCTAGTATAGTAAAACAAATGACACTTTAAAACGGTAAAAGTCGCTGTTTAGGATATTTATTGTGAGATATTAGTTGGTACTTAAGTTTTAATGATAATGTGAAGGATTCTTTTCAACTATTAACCTATGATAATTTTTTTTTTTTACTGTTTTCTACTACAAATCTACAAATGGACTATTTATGTTCTGTCCACCGCATAGAATCGTACCCCGGATTTTAGGGTTTTAAATTCATTAACTTACCCTTGACCTACTGGGGGACAATAAAAAGGATAAGTTTGGTCTTTTTGTTTGTTTGTTTACCAAAAACTAACACAAATACGTTTTTCTTAAGAAAATAAGCTATGTCCATACATTATTTATAATAGCTTTATTATACATATATATTCACACGTCTATTGTATTTTTTGAACAATATATTCGTACATATTAAATGTAGTCTTTAGTTTTGCTTAATAAATATTTATTTTTTTATTTTAAGTAGTTATTGTTCTTGTCACTGTGAGAAAGTACGAGATCTTTTACTGTCTCTTAGGGTATTGTGCTGTATATCTGTAACTGAGACTGTTTGAGAGTCAGCGATCAATGACTGGGTGAATGAGGTGTGGTTAAAGTAGGTGGCTAGAGAAGTAGAGTGGTGCTGGCTGTAATATAGAATTTGGTCTTACGATCCGTTAAGACAGACGATAGAGGTTAGGATATCGCACATTTATTTAATTTTAATTCACATTTTTTGTATTTATTTCCTATTTTTAAAACTCTTTTAGAAGATAGAACTAAATATTAGCACAAAAAAGTCACCAGTGGTTTTTTTAATTTTACGATTCTACGTAGGGTCTACACACTGAAGTTAACTGCAAGTAGTACTAGTAGTAGTAAGTAGGACACTACTACTACTGCTACAACCAGTGGTAATGATAGTAATACCAATACAACTATTTAATACTAATAATAATGCCAAGAGCGCTTAACTTAATTCAAAATGGGAGGGCAAACAAGAAGTTAGTCTGATTTGAGTCATTTTGTCAATCTGACACTGCATCAGTAGCATAATAATTATTAACAATAGTGTATGTACACTAGCTGTAAATAAATTGGGTGGGGTTATGTATATATTGTGGCAGCATCAATGTGAACCATGATTTCTTTTATTAGTATCTATGTGGAGTATTCTACAATATACTGCACTGTACTTCTAATGACTAAATATTAAAAATCATAAAATGTATGAACAAATATAATGATAAGTGAAGAGCTTGCATGCAAAACGTGGTATATACACCATTCCAAATAAAACTGAGCTGACAATGGCACTGCATTGATGGATAAGCAGCATTTTGCCTAAAATTAGAAATACCTATATATACAAAATTAGCAAGATAGATTCTATAAAATTTGAAGAGGACTTATAGATTTTTTTTCTGGCATTTTGTTCCTTTGACAAGAAGTTTTGTAAAAATTTGAAATAATAGCTAGAATTTTTTAGGGTTTCATGTAATAAATGATTTTTAATGGCTTTATTTGATAACTACTACACTTCTAATTGCATAGTATTTTTTTTTGCTTCAGAAAAAAGCTGACTTTCTCAAAATGGCAAAATTGAATATATAGCATTTTGCTTCCAAACATGTCATATAGATATATTTATAATTATATATAAATAAAAGCAAAATCCTAAAAGCTATGTTAATTTTTTACACGTTTTATGTGATAGGGAGATAACAAGAAGATTTTCAAGAAGGAACAAGTAGATTTTTCTGAACATTTTATTCCTTGGATAAGAATTCATTTACAAATATTCCATACTTCTGCTCAAAATGGTTTTATAAAAGTATTTTACTATCTCAATAAATTTTGGGACTTCTGTGTTTTGAGATTACAGTATTCTGGTAGATGTTTTGATTGTTGACATTTAGGAAGCCTTTAATAAGTGCTTCATTGAAGATTTATTACAAAAACTCTTAAACAGTTAGTATAAAAGATAAAGAAATTTAAACTTAAATAAATGTAGTTGTATTAATTTTGTTGTTGTTTCTTATCTCTAGATCATTAGACTAGCTCTTTACCTTGGTTTCTTACAAGAAAACAAAGTTTTGTGTAGTTTTTTTGGTATATACACACACACACACACGCACACACAGATTTTGAGGCTATTCAGTTTTCCAGCTGATATAAGTGCTCAGGTTTTCTCCTGTTTTTGGTGGTGTGTGTTGTAATATAAGCTCACATTATATAACATTCATTTAATTTTCCATTGGGTGACAGTCTGTGTTATCAGCTGGGTTGGGCTTGTGACAGCTGACATTGTTCCCAACTGTAATCCTCACCTGAATATGGTTTAAGGTTTTATATCTAATGTGAGCTTGTATATTTTCATCATAAACAGTATTTTTTGTATTTCTTTTGCTAAAGAAAAAGGGACGTTATCAAGAAATACCTTGTGATAACTCTTCATAATTGTAAGTAATGCTGCTTGAAAATTAAATTGTTCTAGATCAAGATTTCACAATAGAAAATAATGTCTGAAATACAATTTTTCTGTGTTTTTTTGACAAACACAAGTGTTTTACAAAAGTAAGTTTATGACTCCTTATGTTCAAGTATGTACATTTGTGAACAGCTAAATTTTATGTTAATGACTTCATCTGAATCATTCTGGCATGAAGTGCAATGACATGTACATTGTATTGTTAGTCATGCATTACTAATGTCCAAAATTAAGAATCAGTGTACCGTGATGTGTTTTTGGATTTAAAGTAAATTAATATTATATATTTCTTAGTCCTTGTTTTAAATAAGTCATATATGTATGTATGAATCACTGAGTACTTGTATGTGTAGTAAGTGTTGCAAGTTTTCCAACAAGACATCCATATATATTGTAAGTACATCATACTGACAGTAAGTTTAACTTAAATATTTATAACAGGGAAAGGACTTATTCCCATTTAGATCCTTAGTGTTATCTTAGGTATGTCACTGTGATAATGTCACAAAGAAAACTTGATCCTTAACCAATGACCCCCTGAATTATCTACAAGAAAAAGGAGAACTATTGTATGCAAGTAATACAAAATAACATCATAAGTGATAAATCATTTTATACCTTACATATCTATACCATAATGGTTTTAAGTTTTCTGCATGTGAAAATAATTTTGCAAATAGTAAAATATAACTGCAGAAATAGGACTTTGTTGATTGTAACAAATAAAAAGTGATACTTCAAGGCAATACTTGCTTAACCTAAATTTACTGTATCTCAGTGACATCTTAAAGCTAGATATAGATAAAAACTTTTGTTTAAATACAGCTTCTGATGATTCTTGAGTATTTTTGACCATGGATATGTATGTTTCCTACAGCCAAGCAAACTTCTCTTATGCTGTACCAAACAATGTAAAAATAAGTTCATTATAAATTGAAGTAGAAATGTAACATTATTAAATAGTATATTCTTATGTGTATTTGTTTTTTAACTCTGTATATGCTACACGATTAAGAGAGATTAAATATGTATTGTTAAATGGTGTATAGTTACTAAAATATGTACTAAAAATACATTTGAAAAATACACAGAGTAGTGTAGGCATATACATAATTAAAACTGTTGTTCAAAATAGTTTAAACTGTAAAAGGTACGTGTAGTAATATTTTTGTTTTTTCTCTAAATCTAAATGGAGAACTTGTGAAATATGTTAATGTGTTATTCATTCTACACTGTAGTGTCCTAATAGTTTTTGCAACAACTAACTTATGTGCAGTTTGATAAATGTATTTATGATAGTCAAAAGTAAACTACAAACTAAAATTAAACTCCAATCACTTTCTGAAAAGACAGTAAAAAAAAAATTGGTGAGGGAAAATGTTTAAAGAAATTTGAAGTAATATGTAAATTTGAATTGTGCAACAGCCATCTGCTTGACATTTTATATCTGTACTATAATTTTCTTATGTATATATTTTAATTCATTACATTTGTTTTTAATAAGAAAAGGTAATGATTTAACATACAGTTGTTTTAAAGTACATCGAGGCTTTAGAGTTTAGATTTTCATTGAGCTTGAGAAAGCAAATAAATGCATTAAGATAGTTTGTATTTCAAAATGTATTAAAGAATTAAAATTATTGGTTAATGTGTAGCTCATAAGTTTTGATGTATATTGATATTATTATAAAATATTTGTTATTACTTTGTAAGAATTTTAATAATGATTCCAATAATAATCATATATTCAGAAATGAAAATATTTAACATATTTTAATAATACTTATAATGTAAACAATTTATAAGTTATCTTAATAAGGACTGTGAAACTGTTTGTCTAGCGGTGATAAAGAAATGTCAGGAGAAATTTTAGTTTATCATTTGCTTATCAAGTATGTGTGATGTAGTATCACAATATTGCATACCCATGTTGACACACTAAAATATGAAGGAATACATTCTTAAAAATTCCGTAAAGTGTCTGCAGATTAAAACAGTATAGTTTCAGAAGAAGATTTTTGTTATCTCAGTATTTCACCCAAGTTTTCCATTGCTTTAGAAGTAATTATGGTTTTTCCACTTTCACTGAATTGAAAATTTAATATTGCTTACAAGTTTTTGTAATTGCATATATTTTTTTAAAATATATTGTCAGATCTTGTAAAATATTTTGCTGTGTATAAGTAGTAAATATAACTATAAGCACAATTGACTTAAAAAAGTTGAGAAAAGTACTTAGGCTAACTCTTATCTTTTTACAGAGTTAAAATGACTACAAAGTTGTTTGGAAAAGATCTAAAGGATTATGATGACCTAGATATAGATGATCTTTTGGCTAAGCTTACCCCTGAAGAACTAGAGCAACTGAGCAATGAAGTTGATCCTGATGTAAGTTTTGTATGATCATTGATACTTAACAACACAAAGTAAACTATCATTTTAATTCATGGTGAGCTTACAGTTTAAGAACATACTGGGAAAACTTGTTACTTCATGTCATGAATATTTTTAATTTTGTAAAACTGTAAATTAAAAACAACAAGGAAAATATTAAAAGTTAATATGATAAATGCAACATTTTTCTTGGATCTACCCTTGTTAATAGATTTGGAATGAAGTTTTTCAGTTGAAAACTAACATAGTTTGTTTACAAGTGTAAGCATGGTCATAAATTTTAACATATAGCTTATAAACTTCCCCAAAAATGAGTAAAGCTTTTAATTTTTAGAAAACATTATCTCAGGGTGGGAATAGAATTGGTTTTTAATTGGAAACTATATTTAAAAGTGGAAAGCATGGATTTTATCAGCCACAATTTTTTGTTTATGTTATGCTCATATGCACAGCATTAAGCCTAGTTTGCTTCAAATAGCAACTATAATTAATGATATAGTTGAATTCTGTCCATATGGCTGACCCTTAGGAAGGTTCCAAAATATTAGTATTAATACAATACTTTAAATAGCACATCTAAGCACATGTTCATTGAAACAGAACAGACGTGTAACCTATTTTAAATAAAGTCTTTAATAAAAAAAAATGCTCTCATCAAAATGACAGAATTTTGAACATTTTTTGTTTTTCCTGATTTTGATAACATTTAGAAAGATAGTCTTAGTTTTCCACTTATTTATCACAGTACAAACCTCAGTTTTTTATGTTCATCACAAAAAACTTAATCTCTCGTGCTGAAAATAAGGTATTATCAGTGTCTAACATAATGGAATATTGGAAGATTCAATTTAGTTTTTTTTTTTTTGTGCATGTGGTTAGTCATGCTGAACCTCTATAAATGTATTACATCAATGCTTGGCAGAGGGATGAATAATGTAGACATTATTCTGTGTGTACATGTAAAATATGATCATCTTGCTTTTTTATCCTGAAAATACAGTACATTCGTTTGGGTAGTTATTTTAGTTTAAAAGTAGTTCAAAAACTGTTTTAATTCTAGTGGTTCTATATGTGTGTCCCTTGTATACATTGGAAGATCGCATACTTTCTAGATGCGTGAACATGTGTGACTGGATCAAGTATATCTTTAGTTTTGCTGACAAGTCAAATAATATTTTTACTTAAGCACACAGATAAATCTTGTTCTTCAGTTATACTTTTTGTAGTATTAAAATTTTCTATATTGCTATAGCTAGCTAGGTTATGTATATATCGATTCCTACTTGGGTTTATAAAATTTAAAAATTTGTTATTATACATTTACTCATTTACTTTGTACCTTATCCAAAAATTTAACAGAGTACATAGAATAGATTATTAATTGAATATTTGTTCTTGATATTTTGATTTTGTCATAAATTTGGAGCACGGTTACTGAGTGATGTTTTATACTTATAAAACTTGAATGTATGTGACTTGATTGTTAGTAGTATTGACATGTTTTTGTCTTCAAGCTCATATTTAGTTTTATTTAATTTTTCTAATATTTTATTCATTCCTAGAACTGTAGTTCATTCTTCAGTTTCTATTGTGTTAAGATATTAACTTTTTTTGTCTGTAGGATTCTTTACTACCTCCTAGCCAGCGTTGCAAAGACCAAACAACTAAAGCTCCTACAGGGCCGTTAAATAGAAAGAAACTGCTAGAATATTTAGAAACACGTGCCAAAGAACAGGAGGATTGGCCAGAACATAAACCTTACGAAGCTGGTGTAAAACGAGGTAAATAATTTTCTTTAAGCAAGAATTCAAGATTTCCTTGATCAAAAATAAAACACAGACTGAATTCATGATTAAACAAAACAAATCAACTTTGTATTAAAATATATATCATTAGTTCTCTAAAAATATAAATAAATACTTATGTTTCAAACCTCAAATATTTCTGTGGATTGCACTTTGTACATTTGTGTAACTTAGGGTTATATAATATAATTTATAATTTTTGATCTTCAAAAATGTAAAAAAAAATAGTCCTTTAACCTGTAATTTCTAAAAATGGTCACCAGGAAGCTATGAAATTTCATTTCCACATGGATGCAGGAACCCTATTCATTAATAGTTAAGATCAAATATCACGAGATCATAAGAAGTGGACATGAAAGGCTGTACTAACAAAACTAGTGGAATTGAAGGAAAATCAGTTAGAAACAAAATATGAATATTTAAACTTTAAAGGGATGATAGTTTCTTAACAAATATAAACCTATGCTTCGGGATGGGCAGAAAAATTCTTAAAATATCAAGTGTGTTATTTACAGGATGCTGTACAAACATTTTTCTTTTCATCTTTCTGTGTAAATTACTTTAAGTAAATGTTCAGAAATGACACAAGATCAATTCTAAAACTTTTTGATTAGAAATTTGCTGAAATAAAGTTATAGTTATTATTTTTCTTAAATTTTCATATTTGGTATGCAGATGAGCACTCAACACCTGAAATGTGCTTTGCAGTCTGGAAAGGTTTCAATACATACATGTAAAATTGATTCATAAAAAATACTGTGATAATTGATACTTTTCTCTTAACTTTTACTACCTTTATACATTTTGTGTATTGTTTTCATTTAAATTACAGGTAAGGTATGGATTCCAAAGGAGAGGCCTAGATCCCAAGAGGAGGATGAAATTGAAGTTGAACTTGACCTTGATCTTGACTATGAACAAGCTCTTGCAGGGGCATCAGAAGCTGAACTAGTTGACTTGGCTGGTAAACACATTTTGTTAATATACAAACAGTATTACATGGTAAAGAATAAGTTTCATTAACAGTGGTCTTAAATTTTATAAAAATATGTTTACTCTTAAATAGATATACGTAATGTTATGCAGTAGTATTTAATATTATTATTTCATTTTTATGACTTTAACCATTTTCCGCCTGTGGCTTTAATTCAACACTTTTGTATTTGCTTTCATAAAAATTAATAACTCAGAAATGACATTATCTGAAATACAGTCACTTCAAATATAGAATATAACCATTGAACATTTTTTAATTTCAGTTAGATATCTGAATAAAAAAATGCATGACATAATATGCCATTATGCAACAAGCTTGTAACATTTGATTTGGGCCTGGCATGACCTGATGATTAGGGTGCTCAACTCGCAATCTGTGGGTTGAGGGTTCTAATCCCTGTTACTCCGAACATGTTCACTTTTCAGCTGTGGAGGTGTTATAATGTAGCAGTCAGTCCCACTTTTCATTGGTAAAAGAGTAGCTCAAGAGTTGGCAGTTGGTGGTCTTGACTACCTACCTTCCCTCTAGTCTGGCGGTTTCCAATCTTTTCACCACCAAGGACCCTCTTTTATTTTTTCCTACGGAACCCATGGTTTTTGAAGGATTCCATCTACCCAACAAACTGTTTTTCTTACTAATAATTAACTTCTTTTTCTATTTTTCACTATCAAATAAAAGACATTTATAACTGAGTGTGCAATTAAAAGAACAGCAGAATTAAAAAACTTGCTTGTTTAATGAGATGGTATTATCTTCACGGACCCCCAGGGGTCTGGGAACCACAGGTTGGGAATCACTGCTCTAGTCTATCACTACTAAATCACTACAGCTAGTGCAGATAACCCTCGTGTAGCTTTGCTTGAAATTCAAAATAAACCAAACCATTGATCTGAAATCCAGGTTTCACAAAGCCTTGATTTTTAGTCTTGAAAGCTCTTGAAAATGAGGGTATTTCTTCTATAAAGGGTCTGGAAAAGTGCTTGAAAATAATTATTCTAATCTAATCATTTAAAAAATGTTAAAAATTTTATCATTAAATTGCCTAATCATTAACCTGATCATAAATGGTTATTCAGGAAACATAACTTTCTACTAGCACTTCATACAAGTGATAAACAGAATCACGTGTATAAAAGATATTTTCACCTTTATCAAATCACTCATTGCAAAATGTGGTTAATAGTAGTTATATCACTATATTGTATTTATAAAACATACCTTTGTAGTCCATTTATAAATTATGTACAATTGATTAAAAAACGAAACACTATCCCCCAGTGGCACAGCGGTATGTCTGCGGACTTACAACGCTAGAATCCGGGTTTCAGATAGCCCATTGTGTAGCTTTGTGCTTAATTACAAACAAACAAAACACTAATATCTAAGCTCACACCTTGATGAAGTCCAATGTAAGATTCCATAGTTTCAAATTCCAATAAAAAATTTTTTTATAAAGCAAAAAGGAACTGCCAAAATAATTACATCAACACAATAAAGGAACTAATAAAGTTAGTATATTTATTGGTAATCCATATCATATATGAAAGCAAAGCCTTGATATAACTAGATTATCTGAAGATGTGCACTCACAAAAGGCTTTGTGGGTAAACACTAGAAGTTTAGAAATTTACAGTCCACATAAGGAATATTTTAGGCAATTTAGTTATGTTTGTTAAATTTAAAAGCTTGGAAATTGTAAAATAAAAAATGCAGTGAGTTGAATATCACCGTTTTTAATACCTATAACTTCAAAAATTTGCTGTTCTTAAAGTGTTTGAGCCAGAAATAAGTAACATACATGTAAAAAGACCATAGTTTATGAAATTAACGTTAAACAAAGTATTAAGTCAAATCACAACATGTGTAAAGCCTTAAACATAAGTAAGAAACAGAAATAAACACAATAATTATCATTCATTATTATCAAATAGTATTTTTGTTTATGTAATTTTTATTAAATGAAAGTTTGTAGACATTTATTGGTTTTAAAATATATAACTCCATGTTTAAATTGGTTTTGGAAATAAAAATTATTTTTTCTTCTTTCAGCAATTTTGGGCCTCCACAGCATGATGAATCAAGATCAGTACCATGCTTCTGTTTTGAACAAAGGCCAGAAGATAGGTGATAAGTTTGAAAGTAAGTGTGTATATTTTGTTGTGTCCTACAGAGTCATTATATTTAAAATGAATTTGAACCAAAATGATATTGCTATTATATAGGTGCAGTGTAATAAAGGATTAACGTTTTCAATTTTTATATAAAGAAGTGGGAAATTTATTGGAAAGGAAGTATATAAAAACTTTAATTTGGGCATTTTAATATATAAATGTGTATGTGTGTGTGTATATATGTTTTTAATGTGATGGTCAATCCCACTATTTGTTGGTAAAAGAGTAGCCCAAGAGTTAGC